TGCCGAGGACGTGCGGGAGGGCTGCACGGTGGACCCATTCATGGCGGAGAGCGAGGCGGGGCGGCCGAGCTGCAAGACAGACAGAGAGCAGTGAGCCAGGGAACGTACCCGCCCCCCACGGCCACCCCGGGAACCCCGCACGTGGAAACCAGCAGACAAGAAGGCGGGCAGTGCATACAAGGTGGATACAGGAAGCAGGCCAGGGAGGAGCTCCAGAGGGGCTCCAAGAGCTCAGCACCAGAGCCATGCGTGGGGTTTTCCCAGATTTTCCATCTAGTATTTTCAAGCCTGGGTTGAAATTCATGGGGAGTGAATTTTGGATGAGAGGAACTGCCTACCAGGAAACAGGCTACTCACAGCACACCTAAAGTAAAAACTGACCAGTGACACCCAGGGCTGGGCACTTCATTACCTATGGTAGGTTCTGGGAAGCAGTACAACTTCTTTAAGAGGTCAGTTTGAAAAGAGTAATTTTAGACCCCTTCCCCACAGCTAAAGGTTTTCATAGTAGGCACTTACTTGCTCATGGGCCCAGAGCCCTGACCACAGCTCCCTGCTATTGGTGACAACCCTCACTAAGCAGGCAGGCTTGGGAGGCAAGGGCAAGAGGCAATCTGTCACCTCCTCCAGGAAGCCCCAAGGTCACCCCGAAATCAAACCCAACAGTCCACCCTGTATGATCCTATTATGCAGTACATAAACCAAGGCTCACATGTCTCTCTCCAGCTAGTTTTTACACATCTAATGGTGGTCAAGATAGGCCTCACTAGCAGGTCCATCCTGAAACAGTAAACTATGGGAGTGCAGGGGAAGTAACTACCCATCTCTAGAAAGCATGGCTGGGAACATGGACTCCAGCCCCACCTCTCACTAGTTACCTCAAGTGATGCTCCACCTCAGCTCCCATGGCAATTACAGGCCTAGAATTTGGAAAAGTTCAATGTGACTGGCTGCTGTCCTCATTTAAATGTTGCAGCAAGCATGGTGACAGCCACACTAAAGACAAAATGCAGCCTGTACTAACCAGATTCACAGGGACATAGGCATCTCTAGGCCTGGCAGGGAACTCAGGCAGACGCAGGTATAAGACAACCATGAAAGATGCCATTGGTCACCACTGCACTGTCCTTGAATAAGATAAGTAATAGAGGAGCCAGGCACAGGGACATCCCTGAAGCACAGCCTGAGTGAACAGGGTCACCCAGCTTGCCTGTCACAGCTGCAGGGACCTGTGCACAAGACCCACCATCCACCCCTCCATCATTCCACATACAATATGCTGAGGGCCTACTGTTCCAGGCATTGTAGTCAGCCCCAGGGATACAACAGTGAACAGGCAATATAGTTAAACCTTAGCTGTGTGGTGGCATGTGCCTGTAATCAAGACCAGGGAAGATCAAAAGGTCAAGCCGGGCAGTGGTGGCATACACCTTTAATCTCAGCACTCAGGAGACAGAGGCAGGAGGATCTTGTGACTTTGAGGCCAGCCTGGTCTACAGAGCAAGTTCCAGGGCAGCCAGGACTGTTAGACAAAGAAACCCGGTCTCAAAAAACCAAAAAAAAAAAAAAAAAAAAAAAAAAAGTTCAAGATCAACATTGGCTGCATAGTGAATTAACTCAAGGCCACCCTGCATTTCATGAGACCTGTCTCAAAACAAGCAAACCAACCTGTTTCCCCAGAGCTCACTGCAAAGAGGACCAGGCACTGACTGTGTGGCCACTGACATCAGACTACATCTCTCTGAACCTCAATTTCCAGCCCATTAAACATTTGTCAGGGGCTGGAGAGATATCTCATTGGTTAAGAGTACTGGCTGCTCTTCCAGAGGACCTGAGTTCAATTCCCAGAACCTACATGGCAGTCACATCTGTCTGTGATCAAGTTCAAAGTGATGTGACACTCAAATACATACATAAATGCAGGTAAAACACCAATGTACATAAAACAAAAATTAGTAAATCATCAAAAAAAAAATGTTTGCCAGGACTAGAGGGAAACATCTGGGCCCAGATGCGGTGTTCTTTCTACTGTACCTACTACACAGGCACTTTCTCCTGTGTCCTGTGTACTGCCACACTCAGAATAAACAAGTAAGGGTGGCCAGCCATTTCCAGCACCTGACAGGTTACTTCAACTCCAGTGCAGAAGCCTGTGTACTCACTGGGGGACACCGAACTCAGTCAGTACTTTGTATATCATACCATAAGGTCTTTAGCACACAGTAGGTGCTGTGTGCACATAGTAAACAGTAAAAACCAGGAGGCAGAAAGGAATAGGCCACTTCTAACCAAGCCCATCTCATTCTGCCCACCTCTCCATGGGAAGCACCTATTCCCTGGGGGATTCCCAGCCTTTGTCAATGCTATATCCCCACCCACGAGGCCTTGACACAGGAGAGGCAGTCACAGTCTCTATGGCCTGGATGACCCACAAGCTGAGTGTACACATCATAGCTCTGGCCTCATCTGCACACTGCAAGGGCACTGGGCTGCATTCTTGCATCCAATTCCCTAGACCTGTCTGTTTTCATAATATCACTTGAGGAGTACCAAGTCCCAAATCTGTCCTCAGCAACGAAGATTTGTCAGTGGCCATCTCCACCAGACTATGGCTCTGGGACCAGAGCACACCTGCTTTCCTCCACTTTCTGCCACAGCGGGGGCTTGATGAAACACACAAAAACTCAAGTCTTAACCCGGTGTTGGTGGTGCAAGCCTCTAATCCCAGTACTCGGGAGGCAGAGGCAGGCAGATCTCTGTGAGTTCAAGGCTAGCCTGGTCTCCAGAGCGAGTGTCAGCTCCAAAGCTACACAGAGAAACCCTGTCTCGAAAAACAAAAACAAAA